CTTTTATTAGACGGGTGGGACTCAATAATGACTATATTTTCAATTTTAATTGGATTTTAATCATTCCCAAACAAGCTGCAACTATATGTTGGGTATTTACTCTTGGAGGAGGTGCATTTTCTTGAAAATTTAAGAAATAAACTTGCATTACTTACTTCACTATGGAATCAGAGTTTGTAGCTTGGCTGAAACAGGAAAGAGGCTGAGTGGCTAAGAGATTTGTTATATGAAATACCTTTTGATATAAAGGATATTTCTTCAATACCTATCTTGTGTGATAGTCAAGCTATTCTTGCTCAAGCCTATAGCAAACTATATAATGGAAAGTCTAGACACATGAGTCTAAGACACAAGTATGCAAGGAAATTAATCAAGTATGGAATAATTTATCTTACATTTGTTAAATCTAGTGAGAACTTATCAGATCCATTTACTAAACCTTTCACGAGAGAGTTAGTGAGATTGACATCAAGTAGGATGCGGTTGAAACTCCTTAAATAAATCCACCAATGATAGCAACCCTACCGAAATATACTAAACATGTATATGTAGGTTCAATGGGTAATAACAAGTCTTTCGATTAGTGGATGGATCTCAACACTATTAAAATTATTAAACCCTATCATTGATGGATAGTGTTGGTTGTTACTGTTGGAGAGTTGAGTTATAAACTCTTAATGAAGTTCAGTATTGAGTACAAGTATCTCTAATAGTAACAAAGATACTGAAAAAACTTCACATATGTAAACTTTGAGGTAGTGCCGCCTCATTAGAGAGTTGGAGTTTTTCTCTATTTAAAAGTTCAAAGAAAAAGGATAAGTGCAAGGTCATATTACCACTAAGCAAGTTAGAGGAACTTGTGAAACTTAATACTTGTGTAATTTCATCGGTATTGTCACAAGTAATAACTGATTCAAAGCGTTTTAGCTACCTGAAATTTCGATAATGCTTTATGAGATTTACACTATGGTTAGATTCAAATAGAAAGATATCTAATTTTTATACATAAGTGTTGAAATTTGATTAAGTGATTAAAGTTGATTTTGAACAAGTGGGGATTGTTGGAATCTTGCTATTGTTGTTCAAAATCAAAAGAAAAGAAAAAAAAATGAACGGAGATTGTGGATGGAAGATTTGAAAAGAAGAAAGAAAACCACGGTTGGTGCTGCGACCGCCTAGACCTTCAAGGCATGTGGTCGCATAGACCTATTCAGGGAATAAATGGGCGACCATGGTTATAACAATGTGATCGCATAGTAGAAAATTTTGATCGTTGGATTCAAATTTTTGGTGGTTTTCTTGTGAAATGATACATTTTTTCACCATGGTTTGGAACCATTTCGTGTAGGGATGATTGAGTACTATAAGTATATGTTAATTATCATTCCAAAAAATGATTTTTAATTTCTGGATCATCCCTTTTTCATCCCGAAATTCTGGCCAAATTATTGTTCTTCACATAATCAAATTAATACCATTTCACTTGTTCATTTTTTGAAGAATCACTTAAGCTTTTGGCGTTCTTCATTTCTATGCTTGAAATCCTACAAACTATTTGCCATTGAATCATCAAAAGCATTGGTGGATGAGGCAAATATCGTTTGAGGACGACGATTCAAACATCGTGATCAAGTCTTGTTTCTATTTCATTTTTCACCTTCTTTTCTTTTTTGTTTCCATAGTGATATTCTCCATATTTTTTCTAACATTTGTTGGAAAGATTTTCAAAAGAATGCCATTTAGACATTGAAAATTCAATCAAATTAAGAAATATACGTACAAGCCCAAGAGCATTAAACAAAAGAACTGGACAAAAAATTTGGCCAGCTTGATGATCAAGCTAAGGGACCTGTGCTTGCCGAACACGGATAAATGGTTGACATCTGAAAAATGATTGTATAGTTTTTTCTTTGTACATGCTTGAAAGAATACCATTTGTTCTCTCCTTTTTCTTCTGTAATCTTCATTTCCATTTTGTATTTCAAAATCAAATTTGTATTTGTTATGGAGCAAATAAACGCCATGTACAAGTTTATTTGAATTTCAATTGTTGTCATTAAGTGCATAGATGCCGACAACATTTCAGATATTTCATATTCTGAAGGTATTATTGAAATTTATTGTGCATTTATATTTTGGTGAGGGACAGATATTATTTTTAAAAAAAAAATCGATAAAATATTGTGCCTCAGAAGTACAAATTCTTGTAGATATTGTAGAAGTTATCTCACAAGTGCCCGTTTGACAAGATTTTTAAAAAGTCAAAAATTATTTTTGAATATATTTAGATTATATTATAGTACTTTGTCTTACTAGAAGAGCCTTTGGAAGAAATTGGCCTAATGGTCCATTTAGTAGGGCTTTTGCATTTTGAGGAAATCTATTTTAGGTCAATTTTCTCTAAATGCTCTTCTAGTCAGATAAATGTTTTTAAAAAAAATTCATATATACATGTTCAAAAGCAATTTCTTAATTTCAAAAGTAACTTTTGACATTTTAAAACCTTGCCAAACGGATCGTAAGACAGTTTTCTCATGAAACTCTTCTAGAAGAAGTAAAAATTCTACCAAATGGACCCAACAACATTGTATACTAATTAACACCTTGATCATGTTCAGTGATGAAGCCAAATGTTTTTCATTGTGCAGTCAAATTTAAGTTACAATTTTTTTTTTCAAGCAATATAACATTAATTGAAATAATTCAATACATTATTGTCTACGCATTTTCATACTTTGACATAATCGTAAAATTATATCGTTATCCATATTGGACCATCATTCAATCGTCAAATCTCCAATCTAATTGTGTGTCAAATCGTGGATTAAGGGCTCTGAGGAGCCTGATGTTGAGGTGGAGAAAAAAGGTGGTCGGTCTCGACGTCAGCACAAATGAACTGATTAAGAAAAGGCAATGATTTGATAAAAATACAAATGTAGTTATCAAGAGAAGAATGAGATTCGAGTTTTCAGAGAAATTGAAGTTGAAGGAAAAAAGTCGAGTGAAAAAAATAAAAATTCAAAATTTATGTAGGGTCCACGTGACCCCATATAAAATCCCCCATGACCATGTTAGTTATATATTTATGTATTTTCAGAAAGAATTGAACGGACGGACTACTGTTACATACATAAATTGGAAGGGTTTTTAAAATATTGATGGATGTTCCTTAGCATTAAATTTTTGGCCCTATTCGTTAAGGATATTGCAGGTAACATATTAATATCTTGTTCCGCCCTATTCATATACTTTAAACAACAATATATCCTTACATCAGAAAGCATTTAATTTAATAAAAAAAACAGAACAACATTATGACAACAATAATGTACGACCGATAATGCCAAATCTACCTCATCTCTCTTACATCATTGTTTACCTCCCTTTCGTTTTTCAAAAAATTGTTGACGAGAAAAGTGTTTTTTTTTAAAAAAAATTGTCCGATGGTGTATTGTCACGTGACACATTGTAAACAATGATGTAAAAAAAAAATGTACATATAGTATGGTTGATGTACGACAATAATTGCCGGTTGGTTTTATTTAATTCTTCAATAAATAGTAATCGTCACTCAGGCTAAGGTTAAGGTTTCAAATTCAATGAACCAGCTTCCTTGTCCTAAGGTTTTTGCATTTAGGTTAAAAACTTCTATATATTTTTGGTATTTAGAATTCAGTAATTAGTAACTTAGCCGAATTTCATTTTCTTCTTTTAATTTTTTTTTTTTTACAAAGTTAATCATTAATTTTTATCACGCATTTCGTATTATTCACAAGTACTACATACTTGTCAATCATTCAATTCTTGAATAGTAGAATTTAGTAAAATGAAATGAAACCCGAAAGGCTTAATATAAACCGGAGAACATTAACTTTCCAACCTTCCAAGTAGCGTAGAAACGACTCTCCAACCTTCTGAAGTGAAGTTTTGGTTCCCTAATCTATTTAATTAACTTTGTTAGATTGGATTCCCTCGTGTTTGAAATCAACAGCATGGACACTAAAATCACACGTGACTTTTGAATGAATTGTAGTTGAAGGAAAAAAGTTAATAAAATCACTCTAACTTTGACGTGAAAGTTACAAGTTCCACAATATCGATTTCCCACGTGAGGACTCAATCTCACAGCGTTAAACAGGCTGAGAAGTCAAAATCTCAACTTTTGAAGATTAAAAACATTTCCGCGCTAGCTACTCAAAGAGTTGGAGAACCCAACTCTAATTTTCACTATGTTCAAAATTTTCAATAATACTCCTTGTACAATTTTGGATCACAACATTGGGTTACAACCTCTCACAAGGGAGGTGGGCCCACTATTATTTTAATCGCGAGAGAAGTTGTAACCCAATGTTGTAATCAAATGTTGTACATGTAGCATTGTTCTAAAATTTTATTCTGAACTCAAGTTACAATACCAACTTTATCACTAAAAAAAATTTCTCGTGCATCAAGTGCAATTTGTTAGTTGTAATATTGTTAAGATCTGTTGCCGCATTTGGCCGTTCCCTTATCACATTGCTGCTATACTAACTCTTATTAACAAAAATAGCAAGACACGATTCGCATCTTGGAACAACTTATTGCTAAATGGCTAGCGGGTGTGTAATAAAAGCAAGTTGGCAGTCAGCATTATGTGACAGTTCTCGTGTACCTTGCATGGTTCAAAATCAATTAAAAAGAAGGCAATATGCACATTAAGGTCACGGAAAAATCTCATTAATTCGAGTATCCGACAACTAGACTATCTATGTTGTTTCTACGTACGTACTTACACAAAATATATTAATACTACACGACATCTAATAATATACACTAGTACAATACAGACTATGCCTATGTGCCCAAAAAAGAAATATTAATTTCCTTATCTAATGAAATTAATTATAGCCGTCTCCTACCGCAGGCAATAACCGGACAAGCACCCCACCCTATATATACCCCCTCATCCTTTTCATTATTTCACACATCATCCAATTGGCAAACAGTTAAAATATACTAAGATGTATAGCTCAACGAGGCAAAGCAAGGCGTCGGACTCGCAAGAGACGGTGATGCGGCTGGCCACCGGTAGTGCGGTGGTGATATTCAGCGTGAGTACGTGTTGTATGTGCCATGCAGTGAAGAGGCTCTTCTGTGGCATGGGAGTCAACCCAAGTGTTCACGAGATAGACCAAGATCCCAATGGTAAAGAAATTGAGAGGGCACTCATGACGCTTCTCGGAAGCCCCTCGGCCATGCCGGTAGTGTTCATCGGCGGCAAACTTGTTGGTACTATGGACAGAGTTATGGCTTCACATATTAATGGCACATTAGTCCCACTTCTCAAGGATGCTGGAGCTCTCTGGCTTTGATCAATTCTTTTACCAATGGGACAGTACTTGTTTGTTATTCCGTACAAAAACAACAATTTACGGGAAGAGAATGGACTCTTGTATTCTTCAAAAGGTATTTTTGAAGTAGAGGGCTGATGCTTTCGAGATTTTCTTACTCTTTGTTGGATTTGTAGAGGTTCAATTCTTAATTATGTTTAGTGCTCCATCATCTTTATTGCCAGTTTTTGTTTCTTTCTGAATAATATCGAATACATTGGACCAATATGACAAGATTTTGAAAAATCAAAAGTTGCTTTTAAATTTATTTGAATACATTTTTAGAAATACATTGTCCGACTAAAATAGAGAGTACTTCTACAAAAAGTAAGCCTCTCGGGGCATAGCTCAGTGGTGCAAAGGACATGAGTGGTGTAGTCTCAACTGAACTGACAGCTACAATGCGAGGGTTCGATTCATGTCTCTTACAAGGTATGAAATTTGACTCTTTGTGGGTACCAATATGACAATTATTGTACCTGATTTGCTGAGACACATATCGCAATTTACCTCCTCCACAATGCTCTAGGGGCGGGGCGGTGGGGGGCCCTCAAAGTTGGGGTTCAACATTTTTTTTTGTTTTTTACTTACACAAAAAGTAGAAACAAAAGCAAAAAATTTATCGAACGAGCTCATAGTCATGTAAGCGTACAAAGATATCAATGCGAGTACACCTACGACACTAAGTAACGTAAGCACGCTAAGACATCAACGTGAGACCGCCTTTAATGTAAGTGTACCATGGAGATACAGGGACAATTGATTTATCGTGGCATGGTTACATGGACATTCATTTATTATACATAGGGCCATAACTGAGAAGAAAGGAAAACAACAATAATTGTTGGTTCCATGACAATAAGTTTATCATATAATGTAAAAGTTGCATAAATGCAAAGGCTATGACCTATTCATATTAGCAATTTAAATTCGTACGTAATTTCAAAAGAATTCAAATTAAAATTGGTTACAACAATTAATTATCAACATGAATGTATGGCATGCCATATGCATAAATACTACATCTACATTTCATACTATTTTCCTATATTTCAGTAATTCAATAAATGCTCGTTCTTTCTCTCTATTATCGTGCTCATAAAGGGAAAATCGACTGTGAGTCATATGGGTTTTATTATGGAGTCGTGTAGTACCAAAAAAATCAACACGAAGAAGAGGCAACACGACTTTAGGACAGCGTCCTTGACGTAACTTCTTAAAGTTTGTTTTCCTGACTCTCTCTACTTATGTTTTATGTTTATATTATTATTGAATTGTGTTTTCATGTTATTTAAAATTGTTATGTTAATTGATGATTTATCTACACAGAAATCACCCATTTTTTCCAACAATCTAGAGTCGTGTTGTGTGATTTTGTGCGTCAATTATGTGTGACCTTAAACTGTGTTTGTAAGATATGAAACATTTAATTGCGATTTTCCTATGGTGCTCTTTATACTAACTGAAGATTGTTTGATTCTTTTTTGCTTTAGCTTTGCTCTGCCAAAAAAAAAAAAATTGAATTTAGCGGGATTGAATCCAAAAGTGCTTCTACAGACTTAATAATTTCTATAGTGGCTGAAATAAACAATTAGGCCAGCGACTTAATGCTACTGAAACAATGATACAAGTTGTAACATGTGCACTCCCACTATAATTAATGTTGATTTGACAAATGTCATTGAATTTTAGAATTAGATATTATATGTTGAATAACATTACTCATAAACCGTGTTTTCATCCACACTGATGATTAAAAAATTCTCTGGAATTCCAAAACCAAATGTTTTCAAAAAATTAAGGTCATTGAATCTAAAACGTATCGTTTAGTTTATCATTTAACATTAATTAAATACTTTTAAAAAATAAAAATAAAAAAACAGAATTGCATCCTTAATCTTCCTTTCATTTTAAAATTGGATAAAAAATTGTACACAATTAAAAATCGTTCAAGCTGAATTTTCATTATTCTAAAACTAGATATGAAATATCGTTTGTGAAAGAACTAGAAGTGTATTCGTAAAATATCCTCTTGAAATAACATGATTGAGGTCTTTATTAAATAGTTACATAAAGGGGGAAAAAGGAGTGTTTGTAGAGATTAATATGCTTTATTTTCTTTTATGGATTTTGTTTAAGGAGAACTTAAAAGTTGAATGGAGCAACATCTTGAGAAAATCACCGTATCACCTAGTGTAAGCTTTTCCCTATAGAAGGCCTTCAGCTTTAAGATATGATAATCACACTTGGTAGCTAATTGGTTATTGGCTACCCTGGTCATTGAGGGGCTTAACATACGGTTGACAATGAAATTAAAATTTGCTTTCTAAATCTCTTCTCTATTTTATGTCATATTATTGTTGAATTGTATCCTATTAATTGATAATCAATCTACACACAAATCATCCATTTTTCCGAACATACAGATTGAATCTAAAGATTGCAGGTGAAGTGAAAAAGTTCAATGGATCTATCTGTCCAACCGTGTTACTAGAAGTCAATATAAAAAATTTCATGAAGTTATCTTATTATAATTAAATATATGATATTGACATTTTGGAAAAGTTTTTAGGTGACTTTGCAAATATGAAGGAGAAGTTGTAAATTGATGGTACCAAATTATTGTCCAAGAGGAACATAATAAATCATCAATGGGATGGTCTTAAGCTCATAAGAGAGTCATATTCGGGAGCAATACAACCTTTGTAATTGGAGATTCCATGAAGAAGGTTAAATGTGGTAGAAACAACCGTAACTGCGTGACTTGTAATAACACTATTTTATATGTGCTTATCCCTATGGTGATGGTGCTAATAATAGATGTGATGTTAGAAAGAGTTTAACTATGAATGAGTATCGATGCTAGAATTCTCACGAGATCTGTGTCACACGCATCCTTGGAGGATTCACCTATGTAAGAGTTGCCATGAGATGTGACTATAAGATTGTGTTATTACCTAGAGACACTGACTAGAATCAAGATTAGAACCATACTAGTAATTATCCCGAAGGGCGTATGAACTAGAGCTTAAATCGATATTGTATGTGGAACAATTGAAATTTGACCAAATGAACATAATTCAAGGTTTATTCCATTATGGCCCCCTCCCATGGAAATTATTATCACTAAGTGTAGTTCAAGTCCAAAAGATACTTATATCTATTGCACAGTATAACGTTGCCACTATATAATATATATTTATCTATTTTGAAATTTTTTTTGTCTCAATTATATAATCTTGTTTATTTATTAAGAATATTTTACTTTGTTCATTTACTAATACTAGTTAGATGCACGTGCTAGTGGTGTAGTTGGCTACTAAATATCGTGATCTTTTAAAAAAAAAAAAGGAAAAAAAAACTAAGGATGAATCTCACAGCATTGGCAAAATCTCACAGGAAATTCACAAAAGTTTCAAAATTCAGTGATAATTTGTAACTTAAAATACCGAACTAAACGTAAAAAAGAAAAAAAAAACAA